CCCTAACCCTAACCCTAACCCCTAACCCCAACCCCTAACCCTAACCCTAAACCTAACCCCCCCGTTCCACCGCTGGGCCCTGAGGCACAGCTGTGGTTAGCTGGTAAAGAGGCTTCCAGATAAAGAATCAGACTCACAATAAATACACAAATCTGTGGAAAACTCAAACTGTCATTAGCTACTGTTACAACTGGACTCTAGTTACTCACTTTAGCTACTCTGGTTTATTCTCAGGCTTTATTACAGCTAAAAAATCGGGCTAACAATAAATACAGAAATCATTAGCTATTGCTACAGCTGGGCTGTAGTTACTCACTTTAGCATCGTATGCTAACACATGATTTACTGTACTGTGACCAATAAATGTCATATTTCTATTTTTGATCTACTTTATTCTCAGGCTTCCAGCTAAAGAATCGGGCTGACAATAAATATAGAAATCTGTGGAAAACTTTGCTCAAACCGTGTATATTTGTTATTAGCTACTGTTACAACTGGCCTCTAGTTACTCACTTTAGCATCGCACACTAACACATAATTTACTTTATTATGACCAGTAAATGTCATATTTCTATTCTTGAACTATCCTGGTTTATTCTCAGGCTTCCAACTAAAGAATCGGGCTAACAATAAATCCAGAAATCATTAGCTACTGTTAAATCTAGACTCTAGTTACGCTCTTTAGCATCGTGTGCTAACACATAATTTACTTTATCATGACCAGTAAATGTCATATTTGTACTCTTGATCTACTTTATTCTCAGGCTTCCAACTAAAGAATCGGTCTAACAATAAATACAGAAATCTGTGGAAAACTCAAACCGTGTATATTTGTCGTTAGCTTCTGTTACAACTGGGCTCTAGTTCCTCACTTTAGCATCGAATGCTAACACATAATTTACTTTATCATGACCAATAAATGTCATATTTGTATTCCTGATCTCCTCTGGTTTATTCTCAGGCTTCCAACTAAAGAATCGGACAAACAATAAATACAGAAATCTGTGGAAAACTTTGCTCAAACCGTGTATATTTGTCATTAGCTACTGTTACAACTGGGCTCTATTTACTCACTTTAGCATCGTATGCTAACACATAATTAACTTTATTATGACCAGTAAATGTCATATTTCTATTCTTGATCTCCTCTACTCCACTAGGGGGCAGCATTTCCCCGGGGGGACTCAGACTGTCTCCAGACCGGGTCTGCCCTCCCAGGCTGGAGGCATGCAGGAGGTGTGTGAGAGACGATTAAAGTGTGTGTGTGTGTGTGTGTGTGTGTGTGTGTGTGTGTGTGTGTGTGTGTGTGTGTTAG